AATAGAATACAGTGAAATCATTGTGTGAAATGTGGTTGGCGTGAAAAAATAACCTCAATTTTGTAATGAAAATTTTATTTCTTCCATCATAAGTTAGGTATGTCTTTAAAATATTCCTTATATTTAAATAATAGGAAAATTATCCACCTTTTTAGTCATATTATAACACATTCCATATAATTATAAAAATAATATATTTACATTATATATAATAATAAATTTTATTTTTTCCAATTGTTTTTTTGACCTAGTGTTTTGAAAAGTTTTTATTGCATAATACTCTCACTTTTTCGTATAACTATAAAAAGGTTTTGTAATACTGTCAAAAGAAAAAATCGCTTAGAAACATCGCGTTTTGTAGACAATCATAAAAACCTCATAGGAGGAATATTCTTCTACAAGATCAACTACTTTAAAGCAAGTAAAAATAATCTTTTCGTATTCTAAAGTTTCTCTATAGATAAAGCTATAGACAAAATGCTCCCAACAGTGTTTTGAAAAAGCTTTAAATTCTTATCGCCATTTTTATTTTTAAAGAATGACTATAAAGTAGCAGAGAATAATTTCTTTTCTTTTTAAAAAACAAATCTAAGTTGAAATTAGCTAACGACGAAGCCTAGAACTTCTTAGAAATGGTTTGTTTTGGGAGTTATTTTGTATATTTAAGCTTTTTATAAATATTCAAAACCGATAATCGATAACTGTACTTTTATCATCATCATATCAGTTTATATTTTATACAGAAATATTTAAAATTTAGCAAGCGCATTATTTTTATGGCAGGTATTACATCACTTTTTACAATGTATTTAAAGTCGCACGTCAATTTGCGCTTTCTAACCGATTAAGCATTGCGCGAAAAAGTCTGAAATATTATATCTAATTTCGCCATGTTGCAATTTTGATAGTTTATATTTTGTAAGCCATTAAACTTGAAATCTATTAGTATTAAGATAATTGCGTCCTATGTTTGTAACGCTTTAGTATTTTGGTTTTAAAATAGCATTACTAAGAAAACTATCATAGACTATAAATTATCTAAAAACTATCTACAAGACTAAATAAAAACTGTCTACATTCTACAAATGGTCTTGTAGCATTCTAGAAGGGTTACTTCAGAAAAATGATAAGAATCACTCTTAAGACTACCTACAGATAGTTTCTCAAAGCACTCTTGTGATCTACTAATAAAGTTGTGCCCACTTTTACTTTAAATTATCTAGAAACATTCTTCGAGATATCTTGAGGGAATTTGAACTCTTAAAATATTCAATCGAATTAAATTCTATTACATATCTTATATAGTATATTTTTATATGGGTGTGCTGCTTGGGTGACATGGATGTCAACTATTACTAAACGTTGAAATTTTATAGTGTTTGACAGGCCTCTGAAATTAAAAATAAACGATATATATCAATAAATATACACAAAACAGATTGTTTATACAGTTATCTAATAGTTTTATTAAACACTTACCGATAATTAAAAAAATTGCGACTAATTAATGCACTCAAACTACTCAAATTATTAATGCTTTTTGTAAGAATTCCAACGTACGTTGAACTCTGATGCCATTACTACGGTTTTATAATTATTTTTTTTATAATATCAAGTTATAGGACGGACAAGTCATGCGCCTTGTCGTAAGCTACACGCCTGGCCATAACAGTTGCATTGCCACTCAGAACTTTAAATCGCAAAAAGTTGAGGGGCACTGCCTCGATCTGTCGCTCTGAGACATACGTTAACAAGTCTCATGTGCCTGTAATTTCACAAGTACCCTTACCCTTCAAAACTGGGACACAGTAATGCTGACATTACTGCTTGGCGGCACAAATAGGTAAGGTGGCAGTACCACCCTGGACAAACTCTTTCACATGAAGCTCTACTGCTACTATCAATATCTGTTTTTTTTTATTTTAGTTAAAAGAACACGGAAGTGTCATACATTGGGACAGTGTCAAAGATTGGCACATTTATCTTATGCGGGTATTTTAATTTAACACTTCGAGAGTACTTAACACTAGGGGTGTTAATTCCGTGTTTGACGACTCAATATTTATATTTACTGAAAAAATGCACCTCTCGTAGAATTTTCGGGAGACATATTATTATTTCTAAGCTTTGCGTTGTTATAAGATAATACTAACTTAAATGAAGTTGAGTATTGATTATCACATTTCTGACTTTGATTATTTGTTACAATTCATTAAACGACCTGCAATTAACTTACTTTTACTTATGATACTTATATCAGACAAGACTATTATTGCAAAACCTATTTCTTCGTCATAATTACCTTTTTAAAATTAACATTTAGATATTGAATAATCAACGATATCCGATGCGTACGTCGCTGCCGCGCGCATCTCTTTACTCTCTTTCTTATAGAGTCGTCAACTTGGCGACTTTGTTCCTTTTTGTGATATTTTGATATCAAAAACGTCTTTTATTTCTATTTAGCGACAGAATATTTGCTATTTTTGGCGCGTATTTAATTATGTTTAATCGTTGAACATTTAATATTATTTTTATCTCAGTGTTCAGGTGACTTTTGCCTGTGCTGTGATCGTAAAGTTCTGGCCAATTAAATGGACCTTCTGTTTAGTGATATTTGCTTTAATCTTGTTGGCAACATTGCTTTCTCATTCATAAGTTAGTTCAAAACGGCTGGCTGTATGGTCTCATGTTTTTCTCGTATTTACAACATAAAACAACGTGTACTTATTAATTATGGGTTGTGACATCAACTTTTAGGAATAGTGCCGTTATTAGTAGTGTTTGTGTTAAGCAAGTAAAGTGTGTTAGTGTTTGTGTGGAAAACCATATCGGCGTGTGATCGGTACACTCGGGAATGTGTGTTGTCATGTGTCGTGGAATGTCTGCAAGAGTAAAAGGACGTGGAGAAATCGAACATCCTTTTAATTTAAAGTAAGTTCAATATAATAGAGTAACAGTTCTTTCTCACTTTCTATTTCTCCCGCGCCAATGACACGAACGCTGCCCGTGATGCGATAGATGTATTAACGCTATTCATTCACCTACCAAGATCTAGGGTTCTTAACGTGATACTTTCGGGTTTGTCGGTCACTCCATTCCACCCGGTATATAATGTCGTAGACAATAGTGAGTATGGACATTAAACAGAACGCAAGCGCGCCACCTAGCGGTGTCGACCTCACAACCACGTTTCCCGCGCTACGATACGATTGGCGGGCACAGTTGGACATACTTTACGATAGCGCCAGACAGAGTAGTCGTCGCCATGGAACTGTCCTCCATTTCGTCTAGTAGCCCATTTTGATTCGTTAAAATTAGTAGAAAGTACAAGTCCTTATTTGACTTATTATTATTAAGTGATTAAAATATACAGTGTTACTATCAAACGCATTGCACGATCCCTAAATCTGCCCAAACGATCTCTAAAGATTCAATTCTAAACCATAAAGGTTCCGACATATACATAAATTTATACTCTCAGTGCAGCAAATAGTAGTACACACTTTAGTGCACTTTAGTGCGCAGAGTTTACTCTGCGATATGTATCAAATTTTATTTGTTATTATTTACGTTCACCGTAAAGTTCATATAGCCTTTGTCGACTTTTATGAATACCCAAGATGGCGTTTACGGTACAAGAAAAATCGTCAGTACTACTGCATTACGATCTATTTCTAATATTTTATTCCTTATACCTTGACCATATGATTTCCATCCCGATTACGTTACACGAATCCTCTACGTTGCAGACAAAAAGTAAAATATTTTGCACCAGGAACGTGTGGGCAATCGACTTGCCAGATGTCAATAACACCCGACCAAGTACGGTCCAAATACAGTTAGCGATATATTCCACAACGTTGACAAATGTATGCCCCGATTTTATTGTTATGTATAAGCTGATTCTTATTTGTAAACTGAATCAATATACGTCACTTCAATATTACCTTAATACACTTAATAATTTTATTTAGCCTACATTTCTGGTAAATTTTCCTAACTGGTTCTGGCCTGTGGGTATTTGGGTGGAATACCCAAGGTGGAATAATGCCTCTGGTTTCCCTCTCTAGTACTTAGCACTTATTATATATGTTATTGTAGGGTGAACTGAAAAAAGTTTCTATAAGTAAAGATATTCAAGCGTTATAATGAATTGTTGCTTTATGCTTACCTTATACCAATACTCAGTAATGTGAAAATCGCCTGTCTACATCACAAACTCTTTATCGTAGGTTGACTAAATTGGCGCGATATATTATATTGTCTTATATAATGTTCTTAATAGTTTATGACCAGGTATGAATCGTTTGTCACCGTCACATAAAACAATGGAACACTAATGTAACCCAATTAAACTAATCGACTATTGGCTGTCGATACTGCATCCATTTGATCTCGCCAATTAATATTTCCATTGGTTAGATCGCGTAAACGGTGCGAATGTAGTTGACATTATTTTAGCAATTTGATGCTGCGAACTCAATAGTTGAACAAATGTATAAAGCTTCATTAGGAGCGCGTATAATATGGAAAACGTTTTACTGTAGATCTAGTAACTTGGCGGGTGTGAGATCCATCCAACTAGGTATTGTTGTAATATCGGCGAAATAAAGTAGGTAAGTGGGCGTCAAGTGTACGCGACTATTTATATTGATACCTCGTTTTACAAAAGCGGATACCTGCACGCCTATGGCCAATTTTGGTATATATTCCTTGATACACTCGTATGTTCATTTATTGCATTTTACATGTATAGGTACTACAGGTTAATAGGCTTAAAATCATAGTTAGTACTAGTGATACCCTGTAAGGGCGTAGCATATTAAACTTATTATTTAGGAACAATTTACACTTATTTAAACGTAATCAACTGACATAGATATTGCATTGTTATTTCTATAATTATATGCATATTATAAGTACATATACTTAACTCATGCAATTTGTCACACTAAAACAACACAAATATTTAAATGTATATTTATAAGCAAAAGTACCTCTGAATAGAGCACAAGATGTCGGTGGGGCGAAAGACGAGTGCGAAGGTGACGAGGTAGCACATTAGGATCCCAGCCAAGAGCACGTAGGAAAGCTCGCGGCCACTGGCGCGGACAACCGGCGTCGAGCTGTGGCGGAACCACACGCCGCATACGAAACTGCGTCAAATATTGTAGTTCTCTATAGTTATTATAGTGGCGTTCTTGAAATGTTTGTATTTTATTTAGACTATTTTAGTGGGCATATATTTATTGAACCAAGACCAGTTTCATATCATATTCCTATCAGAAATTAAAACAATACCATCATGGTATAACGTACGCATTTTTAATCGTTTATTTCAACAATAATTGTTAAAATGAACGATATTCTTTCTAATAGTAAAAAAAGCAAAAGCGCAGTTCCATAAACTAGGTAAATAATGAAACTGAGGGCAGTTGGCAGGCCTCGTCAATCCAAATGACTTATATTCGGACACTAGCGTCCAATGCATTCTGCATAGACCCATGTACGCAATACTATGCTCATCTTTATACGTCTGCCTAGTCACATTTTGGATATTATTTTAATAATAAATAATAACATAATAAAACGAATAAAACGTATTAAATATTTTTTTTTAAATCTTAATTAAATCTTAATCCGAAATACTACATAAATTACTTGCTTCTGAATGTAAATGTAATTATGATATTGGTTTGATGTGATTGTGAATAAAATGAGTGGCGTTCTTTGATGTCGTCAACAAAAAACTTTTCTTGTAATTTCTAATGAAGTAACCACCACCAAGCACCAAGGGAATACAAATAAGCAAAACTTACGCAGTAAGCAGGATCCCAACAGAAGAGAATGACATAGCACCAATGGCCCAAGCCGAGTCTGGGCGAAGGTACGCCTCGGGGATAGCCGTGCAGTGTGTCCTTGTGGGATCCGGCAACGTTCCCCGCGGGCATACCATGCATGCTGTTTCCACGTACGGTGAACGGATCTGCGACAACATCGCTATCTATAATGGCAGCACTTAATAGAGACCTATAGAAACAATGTGTGAAAGAAAGCGAGCGCCTGAAAGATTGATTAGTGACATCATATTAGTCGCGGCTGTCAATTGTGTGAAGGTGGTTAAAATTCTTAGGGAATTTCACTACCCAAGGGTCGAGTGGCGCTGCATAAAAGGAGGTGTCGACTCTTAGGGAATTCCCAGATCTATCTGGGGATTCCCCTACTCAAGAACAGGGACGTTAAAGGCGCTATCCGCTCTTAATCGGCAAGAACAGGAGCCGAGCGGTGTTGTATAAAAGGCGGTGGCATCCAACAGTACTTTTTTCCAATGAAAGCGACGTTATAGTGCTTTTTACTCGTGTACATTGATTGTTATTCTCTCATTGTGATTAAAGTAAATTGTAATTAGATTTATTCATTCAGTAACAAATCTTTACGTTGCTGTAGACTGTTAGTATTTTTTAAAAAGCTATTTCCGAGTTTAATTTGTAAAAATATCTTATATTTCGTCAAAATTTGTGTATACATAACCAATGATGTGTTGTTACTCGTAGACTAATCAATAAATGTTTTATAAGTACATCTCAGTATTTATCTTTAAATTATCGAACAGTATTAATGAAAACACGTCTTCGTCTGGTAAAGGACTAGTACCTCGTACTGAGTGCAGTTGAAGCAGTGCCAACAGCAACTCTCGCCCTCAACGTACTGCTTGGCCTGTCCGAGTTCACACTCGGCACTGCACACTGACTCCGGCGGTCGCCGCGAATCGAGCTTGAATTGAATATCTGTGGAATTTCGAAAATCACACACGATTAACGGGGACCCCGCACGACCACTAAGCGCGATCCCCTTCCTCAACACCTCTACTATAGAAGAAGCTGTGCGAAAGATTGCAAACGTATCACCGCATGGGCTAGGTGAACTATTTTATGTCAAAGTTCGAGAACAAGGTAGTGCTAGAGTAGCTCTTCAAGACAGGCAAATTAAAAATAGTACCGATTTTGTGTACATAAGGCATATTCGAAAAAAAATACAGAAAATTATATGGTTGGCCAAATTTTAAAACCTCGTGACTCTGTTTTTGGAAGAAATCATTGTCATTAGATGTTAATGATTTTATATTCACGTATTAATTATATACAGGTTTGTTTGTAGAATACTAACAACCTCGCTCGACCACACTATACGAATAACATCACAAGCAACAACTCTTAACCCATGACTTTTAATAAATCATCACATTTTACTTTCATACAAAATTAAGAATATTAAATAGATCGTTTGATGGGAGTCGTCGGGAAGGACGCTTGGATGTTTGAATGTAGTAAACATCTAAAAAATCTATCTATCTAAAATACTACTATCGATCTAAAAATATCAGACAGTACAACAAAAACTTTGAAGTTTATTTTTGTTTTATTAGGTTTTGTAAAAAGTCATGGAAGAGAAATCATTGTTGTTAGTAATATCTTACAAATAGCACTGTATATATATTGACTATTATTACGATCTTATTACGATCTTATATAGCTTATTACGATCATGAACCCTAATTAATTGCCCAGTACTTTGTCATTTTTTATTTCTTTACTAAATCACTTTCCGTTGCTAATTTACAGTTCTATAAATTAGTTACACTCGGTCTTCTTGTTTTGTCTAGCGTAGAGCTCACCAATCCGAGGGCCCTTTTGAATCTTTAGCAAATGTATCTGCTCGCAAAAATCATCTTCTCTCTTGTTATCCTGCATTGCAGGATATTGGTCATTGCTTCCATAATGGTTGTCAAAGCATAATATATTTATACTCCTCCATTGCGCGCGTCAGTTTCGTTTGCAAATCCGGGAAAGGCTTGCGGATTTTTCAGCACGGAATTTAATACCTCCTTGTAACAAATTCCACAAATTGCATTTCACTTACTATCCAAATCGAGCTTCAGTGCCCCGTCGTGGTACTGCCCGACATTGATCCAGCGGTACTGACCAGGTTCGACCTGCTTGAAATGCAGGATGTTGTACCGTGCGGGGCCATCGCCGTTAGCGTCGAAGTGGAACTCGTCGCCGCTTAGTCCTGCATCGGAATAAAGACATTGTATTTAATATATCGCATAAGTCGTTGAGTCAACTGGTTGAGAGGCTGCGTGCCCTCAGTGCCAAAGGGTGCAAATTTGAGTCCAGACACAGGTCTGTTCCACTGAGTATATTTTTAATGACGTCTGCGCGGTGGTGTGCTACTCATCACCAATCATCACTCATTTTAAATGGTAACCAAACCCGTCGTGAGGATTGTTCATCGGAGACACTAGAATAATATGTACAAAAACCAGCGTGCTTAAAAAAATAATAAAAATAATAATAATAACAATATTAGTAATAGTGATAGTGATAGTAATAATACCAATATATAGTAATAGTAATAGTAGTAGTGATAGTGACAGTGACAGTGACAACGCCCATGACAGCGACAGTGACAGTGACAGTAACAGTGACAGTGACAGTGACAGTGGCAGTGGCAGTGATAGTGATATTGATAGTAATAGTAATAGTAATAGTAATAGTAATAGTAATAATAATAATATATAATAATAATGATATGTTTTTTTCTCACCACACAATACAACACAATATAAATCTTAGTTTTTTTTTTTTGAATTTATTTTCCAAAACAAAAATATACATTGGTTCTTAAATCTAACCTACCTACTGCAATCCCTATAATGGGTTTATATGTCGGAGGCTTCAGTCGCTGTCTTGCACAGATTTATGCGCTATGTCTGGCTATTAGTTACTGTATACAAATTAAAAATAAATGACTTAAGCTTACTTTTACATTACATGTAGGTACGTTACAGTAGTATATTGTGAGAGCTGTTGCTTGATGTACGTATTTCACCTGTATTACAAGTCACCAGGCCCCATCCCTTGAATAATGAGATTTAATTACTAAGTAATAAGGAGTGAGTAGATGATTAAACTTGTTAAAAAAAGTAAAAACCATATAATAAAAACTAAGACTAGACAGTACTTATTATTAGCGTGAGAAGTAGATGGATGTGCAAACACGCGCGTGTTTGTGTGTGTGTGTGTGTGTGTGTGTGTGTGTGTGTGTGTGTGTGTGTGTGTG